GGAATTTGTGTATAATATGCAAAAATCCTTAGGTTTAACCTCCAGTTGAACTTTATCTCCAAAAATGTTTAAGACATGATACATTACTTAGATTAGAATCAGATTACGTGTCTACCTAGGAATTGTCTGTTTTTGTATTTGGTTGTTGCAGGGTCTCACTATGCAGCTTGGACTCATAGTGATCCTCCTGCTTTCAGCCTCCCAGCACTGGGACCAGAGGCATGTACCACCAAGCCTGGATTCTGGGCTGGCGCAGCATGTGCTGCTATACACCTGTAATCCCAGCACTCAGGAGGCTGAGGCAGGACGACTGCTGTGTTTGAGGCCAGCCTGACCTCCATAATGAAATCCTGTCTCAAACAGACAAAAATAAAAGTAAATTTAAAATAAACAAACAAAAGATTCTCTTTTTTGTACCAGGGATCAAACTCATGACCTTGTGCTTACCAGGCAGGCACTTACGCTGCTAGCTATTTCCTGGCCCAAAACAAAAGATTTTTATCTCAACTTTCAAATTGACGGTAATTTGAACTCCAGCGCACTTCCCTGCCATGGAACTAATCACTTTATGTGCCCATATTTGTGGTTTGTTTAACTAGATTGCCAACTCCACTGTGAGGAGAACCTTTTGCTATATTTCTTCCAACACCTCCATAATATAATATATACTTTTTTTGTGTGGTAGAGGGTGCTAGCAGGGATTGAACCCTGGGCCTTTGCACTAAACTACAGATCTCTTTATATTTATTTTCAGACAGGATCTCACTAAGTTACTAAACTGGCCAGGTTAGTGGCCAGGGAGATGGCTCAGTAGAATAAGTGCTTCCCCGGCAAGCGCAAGGGCCTGAGTTCAATTCCCAGTTCTGCAAAAAAAACAAACAAACAAACAAAAAAAAAACAAACCTGGCCAGGTTAGACTAATGACCTTTTCCCTTTGCCTCCCAGAATACAGGATTACCTTGGGTGTGCATCAACATAAGCAGCTTGAGATATACTTTTTGACAGACTAAACTTGATAATCTGGCTATTTATGACCTAAATGAACTACCATAGAGGTACTTTTTTCCTGGTTTTTTTTTTTTTGTTGTTGTTTTTGTTTTTTGTGGAACCGGGGTTTGTTTTAGTACTTTTGCAGGTGCCTTGCCCAGTCTCTTCTTATTCTAACTACGCTGTCTTTGGGTAACACAGGCTGAGAGTCTGCTACATAGTATGGATAATGAAGATGGGATGGCTGGGTGTGGTGGCACACTACTGTCACATCAGCACTCTGGAGGCTGAGCCAGGAGGATCATCTTGGTAACACAGAGAGTCTAAGGGCAGCCTAAACTGTCTATGGAGATCCTATCTAAAAAAAATAAAAATAAAAATAAAAATAAAAATAAAAATAAAAATAAAGCGCCCTTGCTGCTCTGCTACTTCCCTGCTCGCTGCTTTCTGCTCGCCATGAGCTCTTTCTGCTCTGCCACGTTCCCCTGCCTTGGAGCAGCCTAGT